TTGTTTTTGTTTTTGTTTTTGTTTTTTTTAATTTTTTGAAGCAGACAGTAGGGAAGGATAAATAGGCAGACCACACAGAATTTTTAGGGCAGTGGAACTTCTGTGTATGGTGGATACACATCATTATATATTTGTTGAAATCCATAGAAAATACAACATCAAAGTGAGCCCTCATGTCAACTCTGGACTGTGAATGACAATAATGCATTAATGCAAGTTTATCACTTTTAACAAATGTGCCATGACTATATCTTTATTGTATAGATTTGCCAGGTGTTTTATGTGCATCGCTATCTGTACTGACAGAATAAGCCCATTTACTGTGATAACCATTTTACAGGGGAAGAAACTGAGCTTCAAGCAAGTTAAGTAACTTGTTCATTCTTTTAGATATAAATGACATAACTGAGATTTGAACCTGAGGTGGCCAACCTCAGATCCTGTTCTTGAGATCCCTGAAGTCAGATTCATTGACACTGGAGTTTGGCCAAAAAAAGACAATGTGTTCAATTCTGATTTGAACATAACTGTGTAAGGAAATATTTGGTCAAGTTTGAAGAGGTAGTGTTCATTTAATTGTAATGGATCAGAGAATTTTCTCTTTAGATGATCACCCATCATGAAGCCATGCTACACAAATGAGAATTAATTAGCCTGAAGAGGAAAAGGTCAAGGAAAAAGGTACATATGTTTTCTTGATCATAAAGAGAAGAAAACAAAAATATGAGAGCACTTAAGATTTAGGTTCACTAAAACTAAGAAAAAAGTATAGCCCATAGGAATTACTTTTGTGTGTCATGTTGTTCAAAAGCTAATGACTAAGTCAAAGATCTTTAAATGCAATAGTACCTTCAACAAAGAGCTCCAAACAGTGATCTGTGAAGCTTCCCACAAAAACATTTGTGCAAGTATAAAAAAAATAGAAAAACAAGGAATCTAATTTCTTTCAATAAGAAATAACAAAGGAATGAAGCAACAAAGTCCTTTTCTAAAGATCAATGAAGCAAAGATAAATTACTGTGACTCTAGGAATTTTGATTAAATTTGCCTTCCTAGCCTCTTGGGCTGAGAGAACCACAGAAATGGAATTCATTTATTTATTCATCCATTCATGCCAAAATGATTTTACTGAATACATACTGTATATTAGACGTCATCATAACCACTGGGAAAGTTGTGATAAATACAACAGCTGCCACTGTCATATAAGTTAAACTCTAATGAGGGAAGTGGAAAACCTGATAGGAGAAGGTATAACAGACAATTATAACAGGAAATAGGAGAATCAAGAGTAAACCGTAGATGGAAGTGAGGCTTGTGGGTGGAGATTACATCATAAAGTGATCAGAGCTCAATCAGGGACTTACACAGTTTTGGATTTATGATTCTCATTCTGAGTGGCATTAAGAAATAGTAGACAGTTTTCAGTGGAATGATGGGACACGGCTGCTAGAGAAACAACTATAGAAAAGCAAAAGATCATGGGGGCTTGGACCAAATGGAAACAGTACAGAAGATGAGAAGTGGTCAAATTCACAGTGGCATGGCTACATTGGTATAAATTGATAATTCAAGACACCTCATGGGCTTTGAAGCTAACTAACACCATTTGCTAAAGTAGGAGAAGCTAGACAAAGAACAGAGAAAACTGCTAGATGATACACAGCTAAATTATTCTGCTTCAGATGTGTTAAAATTCTAATGCCTATTAGATATGCATGTGAGATTCTAAGTAAATAGATACACAAATTCAAACCTCAGAGGGGAGATTATTACTAAAATATACGTGTTTTAGTATCATTAAGACATCAAAGACTGATAGATCTCACTCTGATAGACAGAGATACAGAAAACATTGTCAATTACAAAACCCTGGGACGTGCTAACATTCAATAGGAAATAATATCACATTTATTGAATCCTACTATTCATCTTTATATGAGACACTTCACAAAAGACCTGAGCTGACTAACTTATTTAATACAAATCTTAAATATGAATCTACATGTCTTTATAAATGGGGAAACTGAAGCATACACATGCAAAGATACTTTTGTTGTCTGCAATAAAACTGAGGCTTCAACATAGTCTCTCTTACCCTTTGAGGTACCAGAGCTGGCTTCAGAACAGAGACAGAAATAGCAGTTAAGGAAGGATAGAAAAGTGTGTTAATTAGAATTTTATCACTTTGAGCAAATACCTGAGAAAACCATTTTAAAGGAGGAAAGATTTATCTTGACTCAGTTTCAGAGATTTTAGTCCAGGGTTCACCAGTTCCATTTCTGTTGGCGTGAGGTGGCCAGAGCATCATGGTGAAAGGGTCTGGAGGACAGGTACTCCCTCCATGGCAATCAGGAAGCAGAGAAAGGAAAAGCAACTTGCATGATCTGATCACTTCTCTAGATCTTAGTGAAGATCTGAACAGTGCTGCACTGGAGATCAACCCCAACACCTGAGCATTTGGGGGACACTTCATGTTTAAACAATAACAATAACAAGAAGTCAAAAAAGAAAAACTGAAGATCTGTGAGTTGAAAGCCACTGGTGATCATTACAATACTTCATGGAAGGACTAAATGTCAGAATAAAACTTGTCCAATGAGAGAAAGTAAACACACTAAGGATGCATTGCCAGTGAAATCAGGTTGTGTTTGAGGATAGAAAAGTGTAAAATAGTCCCTCATCTAGCAACATTGCAATATAATTAGAGCTGAATACCCATGTGAGATGTGCGCTGTGTTAGTTGCTTTCAAAAAGTCAGTTGTGACAGAACACCTGACATAAATCAACATGAAGAGAAACAGTTCCAGAAAATTCCATTAAGATCCTGTGATTTCTGAACCCCTATATAATTCCCAGTTACTTGAACTAAAACACTTGATACAGGACTAGGATACCTGAATAGGGCAGGCACACTCCCAGAATAGGGCAGACAGTACTATTTTGCAGACATTCTCCTGAACTAGTATTATCTGTGTTTCTGTACGAAATAGTCTCTTCCAATCAGTAAGTTATGTGATCACATCATTGTGAAGAAAGTAAAGCCTATATCAAGTCTGTGTAAAATGAAAATAGTTGAGTTATAGTTGAAGAATTAGAAACCTATAGTTTTAAACTACCTTCAATGAAACAGATACATATATATACTCAGTGATTTTCCTATCTATTATGGTTGTTAACTTGAAAAGTTTAGAAGTGTAACTGAGAGACTCAGCAGGCACCCGGATTCTTTGTAAATATCTTCATTCTGAACAAGAGGAGGACACAGAGATTTTGTGAGTGCTGTGTCTGCCCTGGAGGGAAGAGGTGGCCTGCACACAATATAAGGAAGAAAAAGAGGCTTGTTCCTCCACCTCGCCCTTTTGCTCCTGCTGCTTTTGCTGGCTGCTGCCTAGAAGTGTTGCGCCTCTGCCATGCCACCCTGCCTCGAAGCCAGCTAATTGTGGACTGAAACCTCCACAAAGAGTGAGCTAAATGAACTTTCCCTTCCTTAATTTTGGGTGTTGTATATTTTGTCCTGGCAATAAAAGTAACCATGGTCATATCCAATATCTGATGTCCAACACACAGATAGACTTCTCCATTAAAATAATATTTTAACCTGATTTTAGAAAGATATATAAATTTAGTTCCATATTTTGTGCAAGTCATAGACTTATTAGTTAACAGATGTAATTTTAAACTAGGTCTGATTGATTTCAGTAAAAAATAATAAGCTCATAAGCTTAGATTAAAGAGAGATAAATGTGTATATAACTTATAAATTTCCCACTTTTAAAAAATTAAAATATTCCTTTTTCTTTAATACTATGCTTAAATTATATCTTTGGAATACATTTTATACAAATAAGTGATAAAGACTATTTCTTCTTAATCTGTCTTAGAGAATTTAAAATTGAGCACAACCTACCAGAAACATTATTTAATAGTTATCAGCCAAAAACTGTGGAAGAGTTGGTTTAGAAAAATGACAGATACAACTCAGTTCCATTATGCAAATTTATGGTTGAATTGAGTGACTTCAAGAATGAAGATAAGGCTTAGTAGTATGTAGCATAATCAAGCAATTCAAATAATAGAACAGGCATTAAGTAAATTAAGTAAATTTTAAATAAAAGTCCAAAGAAGCAGAAGGAACTAGGAAGAAATGAGGGAAGGAAGGAAGGAGGGTGTGAGGACATTACCTTTAATTGAATCAGATTCTAATGAGTGTAGCGCAGAAGACCGCATGATAGGATTCTGTGATAGCAACTAGGTAATAAGGTTTAATACCTGGGTGCAGGCAGGCAGAGAGCAGCAGCAAAGCTATCTACCAAAACAGAGAGAAAGGCACCCCATTAATACGGATGGAAAGAAGGCAGGTGGGAAGATTTACTAAACATCTGTAGTTAAAGTTTTCTGGCAGTCTTGTATCTCTGTGGGCAAAGTCATTGTAAGCATCCAGTGTAAATTGTTGGATGTCTCCAAGTGTCCCCAGGACCTGCAAAATTCCTTTTCCTTTCTTGTCTCCTTCACAACATACTATACTTCCTGGTGACAGCCTGGGGTGCTGAGCTGAATTCCCCACTGAGAGTAGTGCTTCTCCTGGCAAGCAGGCTGGATGGAGACTGGAAGAGCAGAGCCAGGTCTGGTTAAAGCCTTACATTAATATTTGATCAGTGTTAACTTACGGTCTGATACTCAAGTGAGGATATCTGCTGCAGAATAACTTCTCAGATTTCTAGTTAGCATCTTACTCCAAGAATGCAAGTGGGGTCAGTTCCAGCACCAGTGATGCAGCAGTCATCTGACAAAGAAACTAGGAAGCATCAGCCTCACTGAAGGAGCAGACCTGAGAATCCCTTCCCTGTACTCCACCTCCATGTTTATGTTCATCATTTGTAGCTGTTTGGACCAAAATTAAAACCTACATTGACTGACCCTACTAGGAACCATAATGATTGACTAGACCAATTAAAGTGTGTTCCTCAGTAATTTTAACCTAGCAGGAATTCTAGTGGAAAACTGTTGGGAGCCGTGGCACTGTCAAGTCATCAGACGCGGTGATTGCGAGGCCTGTGGGAAAGTACAAAAGCCTGGGCTAGATTACCCCTCTCATCGAGCCCGCCTGTGTGGCACCTGTTTCTTATCACCCCACTAAGTTCCCGCCTCACAGGGTAGTCTGCCTAGCTATTAATCCTATATATAGCCAGTGCCTCCACCCCCGAGAGAGAGAGAGACTGAAGCACAAAGGGAGCCGCGGGGAGCGGACCGGTAGAGGCTTCGGGGCAGACTGAAGCACGGAAGGAGCCGCGGAGAGCGGACCAGTAGAGGCTTCGGGGCAGACTGTATAAGGAGAGAATAAAGAAAAGCCTGACCACTGCCAGACCTTGTCGTGTGTCTTTCCTGCCGGCCGGGAGCGACATCGACATTTGGAGGCCCGCACGGGGATTGATCAACCCCGAGACGCGGCGGTGGACTGCATTCTCCTACACAGTGCTGCAGCTGCAGGACAGGTGAGTAGAGGATAAGCCTGGGCCCTGGGTGGCGCGCACCTACAGGGTTTGTAGACTCCTCTCAACCTCACGCGTAAGTGGCGGGTTTCTTGGGCCTCACGCGGTGAGTATGAAACATAACACCAGAACTTAAGGTAATAAAAGAGTGTAAAACATAAACATAGAAGTAAAAATAACAGAAGATATATTAAAAATGGGAAACATGCCAAGTAAAGATACACAGCCTTGGTGTTGGTCCTTCGGAGACTCCTAAAGTCCAAGGACCTCAAGGTGGGGCGTAAGACTTTAGAAAATTTCCTTGCAGAGATTGACAGCTTTGCTCCCTGGTTTCTGCCTACAGGGCATGTAAACCTGCCCTCCTGGGAAAAGTTGGGCAGAGACCTTTCCCTAGCAGAGCGGGAGGGTAGAGCTTCAGTCTCTGCTCGTCCATTGTGGGAAATGATACACACGTGCCTAAAGAGTGAGGGTAGTTACGGGGGGAGCTCTCAAGAACTTGTAGAAGTACGCGAGGTGTTTGAACAGGCACAGTGAGGAAGCTCCCGACAGAGAAGGGTCCGTCAAGGAGGGCAGAGATACAAAAGAGGAAGCCGAGGCGCGGTTTGTGTCTTTCCGCAGGAATCGGGACGAGAACCAATGTGGGTCCCAGAGAGGTTGACGCGACAAGTCCCTCGACTGAAGATCAGGCCTGTTCCACCAGAGGCCAACCGCAGACCCAACAACAAGATGAGCCCTAAAAGAACTGCAGGACAATCCCTTTTTGGGGGCCTGGAACGGCTTGCTCCCCTATGTGCTACCCTTGTATACGCATGGCTCGCTCGCATGGCCTACGACCGCGTTTAAAAGTGACAGGCTTCCCACATTCTCCTCCCTAGACAACAACATGTAGCAGGGTGGGTGAGTCAATGACGGGTAAGAGCGTGCCTCCCCAGCACGACTCAACCTAAGCCAGGCCCTACCCCGTTCCGCTCGAAAGCCGCTGGATTGTTAGATAAATTTCTCTCCGAGGGGATTCGTGGAGAGAAATGAGTGCATGCCTATGTGCAACCAGGTTCCGTCCGGTTCATTCCTGGCCCTAGAAAAAAGGACGAGGGCCTCAGGGCCTTGGTGGACCCTGGGACGGCCGACCAGGGTCTACGCTAAGGGCCTACGGTGGGCCTCAGTTCGGGGCATAGGCCTCTGCACTCTATCCAGGACGGGCTGCGATGTGCGTAGCCATCATTTAAAATAAAATAGGGGGAGATGTTGGGAGCCGTGGCACTGTCAAGTCATCAGACGCGGTGATTGCGAGGCCTGTGGGAAAGTACAAAGGTCTGAGCTAGATTACCCCTCTCATCGAGCCCGCCTGTGTGGCACCTGTTTCTTATCACCCCACTAAGTTCCCGCCTCACAGGGTAGTCTGCCTAGCTATTAATCCTATATATAGCCAGTGCCTCCACCCCCGAGAGAGAGACTGAAGCACGAAAGGAGCCGCGGGGAGCGGACCGGTAGAGGCTTCGGGGCAGACTGAAGCACGGAAGGAGCCGCGGAGAGCGGACCGGTAGAGGCTTCGGGGCAGACTGTATAAGGAGAGAATAAAGAAAAGCCTGACCACCGCCAGACCTTGTCGTGTGTCTTTCCTGCCGGCCGGGAGCGACATCGACAGAAAACAGTGTTGTAATTAGTAGCATGAACAGAATAATAAAAACAGCAAGCCAGACATGAAGCAGAGAAACCTTAAATAAGCCAAATTATGAGCAAGCAGGAAATTTCAATAAGCAAAAAAATATAGCATAAAGCAGTAGTAAAACAGAAATCATAGGGAGCCCTTCAGAAAGTGAAAAAATAAGGGTCTCTGAGACCCCACGCTCCAGCACGGCCTTGATCCTATACAGCCTGCCTTCCAGCAGAGACTGCACACAGTGTGACCTGCTCTCCACAGTTCCCACTGTTTTTGTATAAGCCAGCTGCTCCATGTGAGAGCCCTTCTCCCTCCCTCACACAGGTAACCTTACAATAAATCTCCACTGAGACAGCCTGCTGGTTTTACAGCTAAACTTTATATGCACTATTTCTTAATGGCTAACATTTTTCCATCCATATTAATTACCAATCTCAAATGTTTGACAACCTGAAGTTTTGTGGCCATGGAGAGCGCAGAAATGTTGGAGAGGTTAATAAAAGCCAGGGGATGATGGTAGGAAGCATGAATGATGAGGTTCCAGGGTTTTGAATTGGAGGAGAGCAGTGGGTTTCACAGTAGATTTATGGGGATAGCTTGGATTATATTATCCTTGGATGAGTTTTATTTTCACAGCTAATTAACCCCTAAGTGTTAGTACAAATTTCCCCAAGCAGAGGATAGTCAGTATTTCAAATGTATTCAGGGTTCCTGAATCAGCTGTGACAGTGAGAGGCAGGCAAGATCTTTCTAGTCTCTGTCATACCTCTCAGTTTGCTTAGCACACCCAACTGTGTAAATCACTGAGAGTTTCCTCAAGCTATGTTCATTATCATCATGAGCAATATTCTTCACAGAGTAACCGTAAACCTGTTTACATTTCTAGTTTTCAGTGTGATGAAATTGAATGCTTTAGTAAAACAGATTTGTGCCTAGATCCATTTGTAAACTGTGCAAACCTCTTCCTCTGCTTCTTTTCTTTAATACCATCTCTGCTTTCCTCCATTGCTTGAGTTGAGTGAAGTGGAATAAGTTGTGGTAGAGAGAAAAGCAGGTAATACAATCTTACTAATTAATTAATAATAACCCACCCGGTGGACTGTGAACCACCTAAGGAGTTGAACCTGGTGAAGTGAACAATTTTCTCATTGTATACATCACCAAGGCACATTCAGCACCAGCAAAGAGAACTGAAAAAAGACAGAAAGGAAGCAAAGTACCGAGACAGTGCCAAGTCCATAGCATAGTGGGGATGGAACGACAGTCATCTCTGTTGTTTCTGCTATAGCTTCTTGGGCAACCAGAAGCACTCTACAACTGAAGATGGATGACTACTTGCCTCTCAGCTGAAGATGCATCATTGAGGCAAAGGTTTAGGATGCCTTTGTGCTCCTAGAGAAGTGGCAGACTCACTACCACCTCAAGTCTGAAGAATGGGAAAACAATCTGCTTGTGTTTGGAGCTGGGCACAGGATTCCAGCAAATGTGTGACAAACTCACATGTAGAAACTTCAAGTTAAATCAGAGAGCAGCTTAGAAATGGTGATGTATTTACCAGGCACTTGCACTGTATTAAATCTAAAGATGTTATGGTCCTTGGATTTGTAAAACAATGCCAAGTACTGAAGCAAACATCTTTAAGAGGAGACTTGTACCTTCTATAAGTTTACTTCATTTCACCGTTACTGGATATTTAGCCCTTGCAAACATATTTCTTGGGCTATTCCAAAGCCACGAATGATCAAAATATGGTCAAGGTTCACTACCCTTTTCATATTTTTCTGAATCCCAATCACCTTCTCTGTCAGACATATATTTGAGATATGGGAAATACCCTATAGCATCCTAATACCTATTTGGATCAAATATCTGATAATAGCCCCTGCTAAAGGTAATTCTGAAAACCACCTTCTCTCTACTAGTCAAGATAATCTCATACTAATGGCATAGGGCAATGATGCATCTTTGTGTATTTACTAAACCTATGTGTGTTAGTTATTTAGTTCACAGTTTGTGGAGGTTTCAGTTCATCATCAGCTGGCTCCAAGGTAGGGCAGCATGTCAGATAAGCATCACAGAGGAAAATGAGTTTATGGTGGGCAGAAGGTAACAAAAGCAAGCAAGAGATGACTGCAGCTCTTTCTGTCCCTGATATCTTATCCAGGCTACTTAGGGTAGGTAGCACTCACACCCTGGTCCTTAATACCCTTGATCATAGCATTGCTCCATGAATCAATTCCAGTGTCACATCCGCTAGATCCTGTTACCCTGAAAAAAACCCACCTACGACTGCATTGGACTTTAGATGCACAATTGCCACATACATATTGTATACAACAAAGTTAGCTAGAAATATTATAGGCAGCCAGATAGGGCTAGACCCTGAAAAGAATCAGTACAGACACAACTATGGGTGGAGGTACATTCAAGGCCAGACCTCAAGACAAAACATAGAATGATTACATCCACACACTTCCCTAGGGTCAAACAGTGGTGACTGACACTCTAAATAGGTATTGATCAACATGGGTGGGAGACTAAAGTCTCCCTTTCAGGAAAAGTCTCTGTTCAGTCCAAATACACTTGCTATGACTTCCTTCCCCATTTAGTCCTCATTTAATCAATAATTATCTTAGCGATTATGCTCATAATTTTATCGGCTGACTATAGTTTGTCCCACCTCATACCTGCCTTGTGATTTCTCGTGGGATCAGTGTTACCCAAGTGACTGTACTTGCAATCTTATTAGTTGATTATACTTTTGCCCACCTTATACCCACCTCACCTGTGATTTTGCACTGTAAACTCACGTGAAAAGGGCATTCTCTGGCAACCCCCTCAGGACTCCTTCTGTCTCACTTAGACAGAAGTTTTCTTTCCACCAATCAGTATTGTCTTCTCTTCACCTTCATCATTCCTAGAATTTATTCTTCAGTTTTAGAAAACATGAACTCAGCGTATGGGACACCTAGCAGTCTGGCAGGTTGTGAATTGTAATATTGTCCTTAAATTATATGGATTGTTTGGAGGTCCTATATCATCCATATATCAATAACACTGCATTAATGTACATTTACCTTTATTTAAATAGGTCTCTACTTAAAAGATGACTACATCTTCGCAATCAAGTATGCAAAAGAACTTTGAGAAAAATGTTTTTTTTTAATGCTGCCATGCAGAATACCTGAAACTAACTTACAAAGAACATGAATTTGTCATAATTCAGGTGGTTGTTACAACATCATAATGGCATCACATGGCATAACAGAGAAAGGAAGGAAGGGGGGAAAAGATGAAAGAGAGAAAGAAAGTGAGAGAAAAGGGAAGGGGAGGAACATGCCCAGGGAGAGAGAAAAGTAGAAAAGTATAGAGTTTTGCCCTAGAATAATTTACAGGACATTCCCAAATCGGGAATATTTACCCTGAAGTCATTTCCTCTGTCTCCTATTACAACTTCCTTTTTCCTTTCCCAGTGTGTGCAAAGAAAATTCCAATCAGCTCCTTGCACATCATCAATGCCAGCCCTAAGCACCACCTCTGGTCAAAGGTTAGGTATCTCCCCATACCCCCATATCCAGGCAGAGAAAAAGCCAGACTGCTGCCAGTTGTGGGCTCCTCTCTGCATTCTTGGCATAAAGACCACTTTTACTTTTTCTTGTATTCTGCTCCTTTATTGCACTGAAAAACTAACAGAACGAGAGAGAAAAGGAGGAAGAAGGAAAGAGAGGGAAAAAGGAAGGGAGGGAGCATCTCAGTCTCACAAAACAGCATCAATCCACTGAGAATCCTCCTGTCCAAATCACCCCCACACATCCCACCTCCCAACACGGTTGCTTTGAGAAGACAGTTTTAAACACATGAACTCTGAAAGGCACATTCAAACCATAGCAAAGTTACAAATAAATCTTTAATGAAGTCTGTCAAATTATTTATCTTTCCCAGCCCACTCCTCTGGAAGGTTTCCTCTGACTGTGATTTTATTTGAAGTCCCTCAGACCTAAAACAGGTCACATCTCACTTAGAAAGACAAAGAACATTACTCTTAGCTCCTAGCATTTCTTTCAGTTTCTTTTTCTATTCCCTGGGCACTACAAAGCACTTAAATTACAGCTCCAACAGAAATGGGACATGGTATATCGTCATACATTTCTATTCCTGTCTCTTACTCCTCTCTCATCCCTGAATGCTTTAAATTTCAATGATTATACTGTAAATTGAAATGAATAAGACTGTAATGACTACCATCTACATTTACATTAGACAAGTGTACAAAATGCATGCATTTTTAAAAGAATATTAAATGCATCACCTAAAGAGAATATCTCTAAAAAGGTATTACAGAATAATGTACCTAACTCTACAGCTAACCTCTTATAACTTATTTATACATGACATTAACTGAAATCATTATGCAATCTATTTGGTATCAGAAAGCTTCCACAGCTTTGAAGCAGAAAAAAAATTTTAATAGGAGGAGTGTTTCTGACTATTCTCCATTTTAATGTTCTTACAAACTTGCATTTATTAACCTAAGTATGCTTTTTTGCTTTCAAAAAGAGACATTTGCTCTCATTTTGCAACAATTAGTAATGTGTCTTTTAATTTTTGAATATTTAGAGGACTAATCTATTCATTGAATATCATTACCAGCAATAAATCAGGTCCATGGTAACTATGCAGTGCATAAAATAATCCAGTGTCTTAATCATCAGTTTTCAGGGAAGTATAATTCAGACTTAAGAGTTTACTTAATACTAGCTCCCAAGCATAAATTATAATTCTTAAATAATTGTGATTTTTAAACAATCAGAATATGAATCTTCATGAGTCATAGCAAGCTAACTAAAGAGATGCTACTATGCAGAATACCTGAAACCAACTTACAAAGAACATGTATTTCTCATAATTCAGGCAGTTGTTACAACATCATAATATTACA